GTGCCTTATTAAAACACAGCTTGGCTATACCACGTTTGATCAGTTTTGAACGGAAGGAATGAAATGGTAAAAGCGCCTTATTAGCTCTAGGGGTGTAACACCAACATATGCGCTGATCTGTAAATTAACAAAAAAGTTAAATCTAACACTCTTAAGGTTCCATCAACACACAGTTAAACAATCAAAACAAAGGTTTGAAAACAACTGCGCATATTCAATACAATGTCGTTGAACTCACGCTAAAATAGCTCCACGGGGCAGTCTAAGAACACAATAAAATCATTCAAATAGTATGAAAGTTTGCATGTAGGTTTGATGTGACGCTAGGCGTAGGAACAAGGCACGATCACAGTTTGCTAGAAATAGATCACGTAAAACGATTGATTGATATGGGGCGTTTAACGTCCCAAAACCACCATATGATTATGAGGGACGGCGTAGTGGAGGGCTCCGGAAATTTTGACCACCTAAGGTTCTTTAACGTGCATCCAAATATGAGCGAACGGGCCTACAACATTTCCGCCTCCATCGGAAATGCAGCCGCCCCAGCCGGGATTCGATCCCGCGACCTGCGGGTCAGCAGGGTCACTTAAAACGGGAGCCAGACAGGAGCCAATGCAAACTCCTTCCTTTTGTAAATGAAAATGATTATTCCTTACAATGAAGGTTGAAAAAAGGTAAAACTTAAGCACTTATATATAAACGTGTACGAGGACACCAGCCTATGCATTCTTCGACGCAACGTAACAGGTCCTGACGCGATGAGGAATGATGTAAATTTGTCACATCTACGAAAAAAGCTTGGAGAGCAAGGTTTTCATGAGTCTCTACGAGATCTAACGCTTTATTAAAACTTATTACAAGAAAAAAACCGCCAGGCCTGCGCTGAACGCGCATCACTGTTACAGCAAAACCTAAAAGAGTGGCATTTAGGCGCCTTTTTTTAAACACTTTTTGGGTAGCTGCTTCAAGCACATTTTCACGGTACCCACTTCGCCATTAGTCGTTGTGTAATAGGCAGGTATTCACTATGCATTCTTCGTCATTCCTCGGAGAAGCGTGCTACCTGGTATATAAGCACTTGTAACAAATTTCGTGGGAATTTCGTTTTTCATGCAGTGGCCAACGACGATGAAGAATTACACCTGAAGGGGGTATGTGCTACAGTTAATAGGTGATGGAGAGCAAGCTTTTGTAAGGGGTTGGAGTGTTGGACGACCTACTCGTTCCGCAATTCGCATTGTGTGACGCCTGAAAACGTATTACTCATATTAACGTGATTCTTTTCCTGACTTCAAGCCTGTCTAAGGCAAGTTTGCGAGCGAGTCCCACGCACAGGCGTGGCTCAGCGGTAGCGTATTGGGCTGACACTCTGTGGACCGGGGCTGGAATCCCACTACGCCTAATGTTTGTTGTGAATTTTTTTCTTCTTTCATGCGATAGTGGTTAGAGACACCGGCGGCAGCGGGGAAAAACTGTGGTGCCGCGCGTGACCCATGTTGCGATCTCTTATTAAAGTTTTTGCTGAAAGAATCGTTGGTTTCCAACCACGTTAGCATGAAATTTACATAGAACGCGACTTGGTTCTGCCACTTGCCTCTGTCGGAAATTTTGACCTCGAACGGCATAGCTAATCTGTGTGTTTTGGCCTTGAAGATTCCGTTTAGTGAAATGCAGGCACAATTTACGATACTTTTCCGCAAAGTTTCAAGATCGAGGTTCTCAGATAGTTTTGTTGCACGGGCCTCCACCTTAGGCAAGAACACAGCCATAAAAATAGCTCAGGCAGCTTTTAAAGCTTTTTCCAAAAATGTTTCGCTTGAAAACAGAGCAAGGACGCTCTTCTAATCTGTGGGAGAAACATCGGGCGCACAGTAAGGTGCGGGAATGTTTGTGTGTGCGAGCAGCCACTGCTCATGTAAGAAGACATTGGGAGATGGTTGTCTGGCCATTCATTGCCAAGAATGCGTGTTTGCTCCTTTGTTTGACAAAACCTTTATATAGTAATACCGTTGTCACAAGGACACTTTTATTCACTATTAGGTCGACTCGGATTGGTTTTCTTCATTGCGATCAACTTTATGGCCACTGTTACACCGCCCAAGCTACTCCGGTTCGAGCTTTGGTGAAATAACATGCACCAGGGGACGCTTGTGTGCCGCAAAACATTGTCATTTACAAAACTTAGCGTACAATATTTTATAGCGGCCTTCATCAGCAATGTTATTGGTGCAGAAACCGTTCGAACATCAAAACTTTGCATGTCAATAAAAAACAATTTTATTACTATATCATTCGATTAAGTTTTCCCTGCTCTATACAAATATTAGTGCTAGAGATCATCTCCACTTTTATGTCTGGTGGCAACCGTTCGAAGCCTTCTACTCGAAGCAAAGCAGCAATCTCGTTGTACACGCCTGAGTTTCACTTCTGGCTCCTCAGGTCTCCCAGTCGCTCCTGCCAGCGGTAAATTACTGTAAAGGTCTCCTCATTCGAGCACTAAGTGCGCGTACGCTGCGACGAAGTCGAAAAGCTGGCGACCTCCTAATCAGTTTACTTCGAGCTGCTCCAACTTCTCTGACGGTGCGAGAGTTGAACTGAGTGCGGAAGACAATGGTCGTCTGCTTATCGCCTGCTTCTCTCATAACTACATGCGGTCAACAATAATCTAAAAATGTGGAATATTTCAGATATTATTCTATAATAAACAGTTTACAATTGGCGTTTTTATAAAACTCTAGGTGTTTTAATGCATCTTAATTACCTACGCTTTATTTTTTGTTTATTGTGCTTTCAAGGAGCTCGACCAGGGGGCGCAAATTACAGCGAAATCACTATCTCCTAGCCAGATCGCGATACACAGATCAGGATAGCCTTGAGTCTGATCAGGCCTGATCGTGATGTAGTAGCACCTAATCCTGATGGTGGTTAATCCAGATCGGCACTGCTCGCAATTTAAAATGCCCGTCTTACTCGGGTATAAGAAAGAACAACTGCGGAGTCACCGGGTTGATAGTGGAAATTGAACAAACTGACTGATACTGTATAGCTCTTGCATCAGCAAGACTTCCCTAACATTACCTATCAAAGAAATCATTTTCTTGCGCAGACCGTAAACTTTTTTTTTTCGCTCACGTATGGCCCATTCTTGGCTTTAAAGTAGTACGCGCACGTGCATATCACACCTATGAGGCCGCCCAAGGGCATTATTTCACCATCCCACTTCCGATCTTGCAGATCTGGTAAGTCTTAACTGGAGTAGCCATGCCTTTTGCGGCAGCACTATCTGAGGGTGTATTTTGAAAAAAATTATCTTTTTTTGGTATTTTCTACCGAGATCGTATAAGCAGTCATTATTTCTGCCCGAAATTGCGAGCAATCTCGAAGGCATGGTTAAGTGCCTCACTATTTCACGTGAACTACCATAATGGCCGCGGCGGCTGCATTTTAGATGCAGGCGAGAATGCTTGAGGCCCGTGTGCTCAGATTTGGGTGCACGTTAAAGAACACTAGGCGGTTGAAATTTCCGGGGCCCTCCACTACGGCGTCTCTCATAATTATATGGTAGTTTTGGGACGTTAAACACCATATATCGATCAATCAACTTCCATAAGAGGTTGCGCGCTCTCAGCAGTTGTCAACACTGGTTATATTGGCTGCATTGGTAAAAGCTGGCGAAATAATGGCTATCGTTGGGCAGTTCTAGCTGATTCTGGCTAAATGTGGCGAAATGATTGCAAATGCTTCCTTAATGCTGGATACCTACTGTGATGTAATCAATAACATTTTCAATCAAGTTCAGTTCAATTCAGGAAATGGTCAATTCAGTTGAGGTGTAGTTATCTTCAAGCATGCTAGCTCGCAAACCAGCCTCTTCGTTAAAATTATTGGCTGCCTAATTTGAGTCAACTTCTTATAGATTCTTGCTTGCGCATTCTTCCCTCCCGTTGTCCAATTAACGTGTTCAAAGGCAATCACATTGGACCCTTAATTTTCTCCGGAACTCCTGCCACATGTCTTTGTGTTGGACTAAGCGAAGTTGCCAGAAAGATTCTATTAATTATGGTAAATAAGTGTTTTTGAAATATATATGTTTTGTTCCTATTAGAAATCTACTTAGATATTTAAAATGTGCTTAGAACAGTGAATAACTGATATAAAGTTGATTCAGTTACCCAAACATTAAAGAATTATTTGTGTGACCCATGTCTCCCTTAGAGTCTCCTGCATTAAGCCGCAAGAACAGGTGGTCTCCATTGGACACAACATTAAATTTTTTTATCGGCCATTTTTTCAGCTGTTTCTCAAGTGCGAACTTTGATCCTCCCTGGACGTTTGCATTGCGTGCAGAATCGTCGTTGTCTGACATGTGCTGCGCTCATGAATGTCCCTGCGCTTCACGTAACAACGCGAAAAATAGAGGAAGCGATAAAGAGGCTGACGTGATCGCCTTGTTGATACCCTCCGCCTAGACAAATAAAAAAAAAAGCCCCACCTCCCTGAAGGGAATTGTGAAGAAATGCGAATACATTGCATAGCGCCTATAATGGCGTTTGGCCCATGAAAACACGGCGTTAGAAGAATAATGTTTTCTTTTTTTTTCGTCCACCGTGCAGCCAATATCGCCGCTTGCCACACGTGGCGTTTTAATGTCGCGAGAAACGCTGTATGCGTTTCCAGCTCTAGCAGCTAGCGTGCACGTTTAAAGTACGAACGCGTATACGCAGCTGTTGCTGACAGCTGGCGACACCGAAGCGTGACATGATGCGGGCTCTGGTTGGTATGGACGCACACGCCCGCAGCTGTAGCTATGGGAAAGGGCGATGGATGGATCCCGATGGACGCCTGACATAGCCCGACTAAGAAATGCATTCGCATTTCAAAAAATTCTCTCTCTCTCTCTCTCTCTCTCTCTTTGTTGAAGGTGAACTTTTGCATTTGAACTGCCTGAACTTCATATATAAGCTGTTAGTAATCGCGGAAAAAGTGAGAACAGAAAGTTCGCATACACAAGGAACATTTATTTACATATAATGTTATTACAGGAATGTCAGAACACAAGAATTATGAGCAGCGTTATTAAACGTTTTGTAGCGCCGAGAGATGTTACGCTCTGTTAATATACTTACGTTTAGGCACACTTATACATTCCCAAAAGAAAATGAATGAGACGTTCACTATTAAACAAGTGCGTTATAGCTAAGCATCAACACAGGAAGCAGCAATAAGACTAGACAGAGGTAACGCACAACGCAAGGACGAAGAAGGGCCTCAGCAGCGGGTGTGCGACGGGAGTCACGGAAGATAACGGAAAATTACGATGCACAGCAGGTACGAAGATAGGTCGGCTTGAAAAATCTGCATCAGTTGAGACGAAGAGAGGAGAGAAAGAAAAGGCGATGCCGTTAGCAATGGAACACGAAGTTTCGTAAGCTCTTACCGACACTCAGGATAGGGAAAATTTTCTACTTTTTGTTCATGTGATTTTCGTTCAACCCACAAGCGAGGAAGTGTCTTATTTTATTTCATGATGCTTAGTTTACTAGTTAACGTACCTTTTAACGGTTCTGTACAGGAAAACTACCTGATACCAGAACCGCTCTTCGAAATCAACACGCCCTTGTCCCATTGGTATAACCTTCTATGTAAACAGTGGTTGGCAGAACACACGCCCACAAAAGAACTACGTTCTACACGACAGTTTTGACTGATGATGAAGAAGTCAGGTTGACTGGTTGCCTAAAATATGTGACACTTTATTCGAGCAGAACGTGTCCCTTCAGATTTAGGGCTGACGCATACTCGCCGTCTAACTAAATTCACGACTCCGTTCTGGTATGCTTTGAAGGAAACGTGCAAACATTTATCCCTCAAGCTGATCACACCAAGACACATTTAGAGGAGCAATATGTGCAAAGCACTCCTAACAAACCTCTAGCGAGCTTCGGGAAGAAACGTAAAGTGCTAAAATAGGGGCGAGCAGAGTAGAAGTGTTTTCTGTTTCAACATTAGGCGCCACATCTGTTCTACATATACGATGGTTTCCTCGCGTATATATCCATAGATACGTACCAGCGCAAGCGTAGACATAGTTTCTCTGGGCGACTATGGCGAGTGAATCAGCCGTAGAAGCCACCGTAGCCTCCGTAGCCGCCAGCGAACGGGAAGTAGCCTCCTCCGAATCCGGCCGAAGGAACTATGGGTCCCTTGGCTGACACATAAGGCGCTGCGGCGGCCAGGCTCGTCTTGGTGCCAGGCTCGTTGGTGCGCACCACGGCGCGGAAGCCCAGTTTGTCGGCCACGTAGTCGACGCGACGGGCGCGGCCGTCGATGTCTGCGAGGCTGTAGCTGCCCACTACAGGCCCATACGCTGCGCCGGTCTCGTAGCGGCTGTTCCTGGCTCCCAAGCCGTTAACCACGTTGTAGCCGAAGCTGTAGCGTCCGAAATCCTGCGACCACCATCCGTGTGCTCTTTAGTTAGAAACTATGTCATAGTTGGAGCTGTTATTACTGCTATGTCAACTCAGTTTTGCGTGACATACTCTGCTGTGTCAGCATGCAGTTGGCAAATTCTGGTCCCATTCCTTTTGCTTTACGAATTAGACTTATGACACATACGTTGGGACTATTTTCGAAATAACTTCACCACACCTGCAGAGACACTAAGTTTTGTTCAGTTTTTTTTCTTGTGTAGCTCATGGTTTTAAACTATGATATAATTATTCATCTACGATGAGATCGAGTCTTTGATCAACAGATAAATGAAGTTACAACAACTGAAGAAAGTAGGTTTTGATTGTCGGGAACTATTCTGTAGAAACCGTATTTAAAAATACAAAAAAACTACAACATAGAGGTATCAAGAACCTGAGCATTCATCACACTGATCAATGTGAGTACATGCTATTACGTATAACGCACATAGTTGTCAAAGACGCTATCCATGCCAGCTTGTTTAGATGCGATTGTCCAACCGTTTGGTTTCTAAGTCGACTTTACAAAAGAAGGCAGACAGAACAGCTAGGTAGGGGCCCAGTTACAAAGTACTGATCCACTACACCTAAACTTCACATCACAGATGTTGGGCTGTGAAAGAATGGAAGAGGGGGATATTTCAAAGTAGAGCTGAAATAAATACATGTTTTAGGGTAAGGATATGCTTGAAATACCAAGGGCCGTCAGAGAACCACCATCTGAGAACCGCTATGTTGATGATCATATTGTGGGAACTCAACTGATTGACAAAGCGATGGGCAAAATATTTAGCTGTATATGACACAACTGTACTCTGCTGCATTACTTCTGTTTTAAACACCTATTGCTACTTTTTAAAAGTAAAATCCACGGACTGCAGGGTGTGTAAAATGCAGAGCAGTGGTGAATATTGTAATAAAGCACCAGACAGAATAAAGCACCAGATATGTAGGTCACTACATGGTATCGTTTCCTTGAGTTCCATTTGTGAAATTTAAAAACCAATGCATGTTGTCGCTGAAGATTGCTTTTGAATACTCTGTGGATGACAGCTCACATCTTGCTTCCTGTGAGTTGTACTAAATCCTCCATGTGGCGCTATGGCCCCGGCTGCAGCCATAGCTGCTAGGCTCAGGATAGTTGCCACCTGCAGAAAGTTTTGAAAAGAGAGAGAGGAAGAAAAAAATAGACCCACTTAGTCAGCAATCTTAGTCAGAAATCATTCCAAGCACTTGATGTTGTTAATATTTTATATTTTAGCAAACACTAAACAGCGAGGCAATAAATACCTTTTGGATATCGATATGTTTGGCATATAAAAAAAAAACCCCACCCATTGAGGTATCAACGTCTCAGCGATCTGTCTGCAAGCGCTGCCAAACTTTAGTGTTTGCCAAAGTGCCTATAATACATTTTTGTGTTCTTAGTTTTATGAAAGATGGTTTTTGCACATTAAACCTGTATAGATTAATGGGTGATGACATCAGAGTTACTCATTACTCATTTACTAAAGGATCTGTCACCACTAATGCTTAACCGCCATTGTGGACGGAAAGGTTAAACATTTAGAGTGAATTCACAGGTTCTGTGAATGCCTGAACCTGATTGGCTTTACGGTGCGTCGTACCCGCCTTTATACATTATACCTACAATGAAGCGAGGGGAAACGACGTATTAGTGAGGAAAAGGAAACTAGTTTGGTTTCGTGCGCTGCAGAAGGCCTTCCTCGGCACGCGTGCACGCGATCTTCGTTCCTTTCTTTGCAACCCAGTCCCGGTGTCGAGCGCCTTCATTTATTGCCCGTTCCAAATCGATCATTTCACCCTTTCAGCGCTCGAGTGAAGCTCAACTTGAATTATCGCCAGACAGGTCCCTTCGGAGCGGTATACATAGCGAGAGCGAAACGAAATCGAATATAAACTATATTTATTTGCCAAAACAGGTTTGATAATTAGCTCGTTTATAATCTGTTATAAATGGTTGAAATGGTTGATAAGTGTATTATTGTTGTTTGACTCCTAATCGCCCAAAGTCATATTTTCTGGATTATAGAATGAGGGTACGTGCGTTTAAATAACAGATGACAACGAGAACTACCTCCCGGATGTCTCAGAGGGTGTGAAGCACTGTTCCTGGGTGGTAGGTTACGGCTTGAATTCGAGGCCGCATTCCGCTAAAGGTGACATGGCTACGTTCAAAACATATCGAGCAAATCGAGAGGGCGGAAATAAAGTACAATAATCAGCTACGTGTCTCTTGTAGTCACTGTATTGCTTCAGGTATTTTAAGTTAATCAGTCAATCCATAAATAACAAGCACTGGGGTGTTTTCAATCAAGGAGTCGATAACATCATCAGGCTCATTCAACTTATGCAGAAAAAAACACATTCTAATAAAATGCTCGTTTTAACACATCTGCTGTCGCGAGTATAGGTGATAGCGTACTCTCACAACAGTAAGTGTCGCTGCTTACATATTCTTCGCAATGTTATATTCTAGATGCTTCTGTGGCCGCAAGTCCAAGACTTACAGTTCCATCTTTCAAAGGGCCGTAGGAGATAAGTATACATATTACCTTCAAGTGGCAAGTGACAGTGGGCAATGTCGACAATAGCAACGAAAATCAGTCAGAATAGCTTGACGGCCTCTTCAAATAGATCTATTTTCCTAATATGTGTGGGTTCTATATACATCTTAGATTCATAGTATAATTAAGCGCATGTTTTACGCACCATTAGTCTAGTGGACACTAGAACATTTTCGAAACAAGACTCCTTCGTTCTTGGCTACATCCGTCGATACTTGAAAAATAGTGTTCCACGGAGTTTTTAAAAGAACACTGGCCTCAGTTTGGTCCCCTTGTGTACATTCTTTCGCAAGCGCTGTGCTAGTTCTGTTCGGCTTTCCCCATTTATACTGTCGCATTATGATGCTCACCACGTGAGGTTGCAAAGTGAACTGTAATGGGGTCGACTGCTCAACATGGCGGCTATGCAGGCTGCGTTCAGTGCTGTCCGAGGATTTACTCGTGGTATTTACGTACGTCCTGATGAACCGACAAAAATAAGAATAGAAAGACCATATTTTCTTCAATTGTAACCAAAAGAAGCTGACAGGTTTGATTGCGTTTATTGTCCATTGACCTCAATGGGTTGTGTGCAGAATTCGCTTCACAAAGATTGTCGCAAACCCTATACTGTTTTACTCCAGTGGATAAGAAATCTATGTACCACTAGGATCCAAAGCTTCATCAATCTCAGTCTAATGTTTTCCTTTCTTTGTCTTCAGATAACTTAGCCGTTAAGTTGTGTACCTTTAGGCCACTTTCTTTTCTTGATATCACTCTCTTTTTGATGTATCATGCACGACACGCCACTACTTAAATGTTTCGCATTTTTTGAGTGTCTCAGCATTACGTACTAGCCTTGGTATGCCTGAAAACACGTGAGTCAGAACTATTAGAGTGAACTCAGAATTTACTCGTGCTTACGCAGTTATAAAGATAGCAGTCGTCCGTGCGCTTATATTGCAAAGAAGTAGACAGACTTTAGCACTTCGTCTGTCAGCGTATTGCTAAAGAAAAAAAAAACAGCGAGAACACCTGCACATACATTTTCGATGTTTTTTTCTCGACGTTGTTGGGTGTGACAAACTTTATTGGGTGTGACAAACACACTTTGCACAAGCCACCCTTTCAATCTTGTAACTAGCGTACGATGTGCGCGATATAAGCCACAAAAAACTATACACCATCGATCAGAGGTACTTGCATCTGTAAAGAAGTACGCTTGACCTGCTTAGACTTTGCTGTAGCTCCCACGATTGATTGAGGCCACGGAGGGGAACAACAGCAAAGCGTTCAGCAATAGTGTACTATTCCGACAATATTAGGAATCTCCAAGGTACGAAATGGAAGAAAAAACATGGCGTTGTGGCACTTAAACCCTCAGTAACGTCAGAATTAAGCCTTGTATTTCACTTTTTTGTGCGTCTTCAGCTTCTTAGAGGCACGAATGAATTAGCTAAAGTCAGTACTGTGCAGATATGCCTTTCTGTTTTCCGTTCACAGCCTCACTATTCATGCTATCGCTGCTCAATGCGTACGTTTTTTGTCCGGCTACAACGGCTGAAAGCTTCCGTTTGCGGCAATGACTGAATGAAATCATTTAACCCTGCAATCGTTCAGTTCACCTCAATCTGAAGCTGGGGATTTGAACTGTCTTTCCTTCACAAGGAGCAGAAGTGCGTTGTCCTTGCAGAACACAGAACGACAACAGCTCACCTTTGCGATCATGTCTCCTCCTAGCTGCTGGTATTCCCAAGTGACATGCTGTTTGCTCGCGCTGGCCTTATATACTTTCGCCCTACGAGCGGGAGCTCTGCGGGCATCATTTTTTCTTTGTTTCCAATGACCTTAGACATAAACAGGGACGGGGGCGGGCGGCAGCTGTTTCGCCCCAGAATGGCCACCCTGCACCACCTTTGCATGACGAGTGGCATCGTTGAGTCAAATTTGAGCAGACCATAACCGGCGCCAAGTTATGTCGCCGAGCAGAAAGTACAGAGCAGTATAGGCTCGCCTCGCCTTCCTGGCACGTTTTTCTGGCAATTTGCGAACAGTGCGTGCCCTTGTTACACACTAAAGTTTCGTTCGCGCTTTGGTGATCTTTCTGCAACGCACCCATGCCTAGCCTCAGCCACATGCTGCCGTCACATGTGTCGCTGTCATTCTGTTCTCCTTTCCTTCTATTTTTTTCTGGGGGACCGGGGGGGGGGCGGCTTGTTTCTAAATAAATAATAAAACAAGATACACATCGGTAAAACAACACAAAGTAGCTGCCCTCCACTTGCACAACCATGAGCAGTAAGTTCGACCTTCGTTCCACGTTCCTCTAGCAAGGTTGAGAGCCAGTTTTGGCCCGGCCTTTCGTGAGGGCTTCAGTGAACTTTAGGATCCCTATTGGGGTATGGTCTAATGTAAGTTAAACTTAGACCACACCCAAGCCTTCTAGTAAAAACTGAACGAGGTTTCTGCACTGGCCACCCCCACCCCCCCGTGCAATTTTAAAAAATAAAAATATAAAACAGCGCCTTGCACACAGAACGAAGGAAAGAAGTGACACACATGGCACTAATTCAACAATTCGCCCAAAATCCCGGTCTTCTTCAGTCTATTTATTTTAGAGGTATTGCCAGGAAGACTGGCAGACATTGTAGAGAAGGGAGCGCCGATTTTCTTTTGCTTACCAATAAAACTTTGAATTAACAATATCCATACTGTTGAAGAGAATTTTTTTTTAACGGTAGGATTATGTAGAATCAATTCATACCACTTAGCAGTAAGCTTAGTATCCGTGGTCTCAATAGCAACATTACAACTGCTTTCCAATTATAAAATAATCACAACAAACGTATAAAAGGAATGGGGTATACCTAAGAGACCAAGATAACGTGGACGAGAGGACTGCTTAGGGTGGTCAAAATTAAGCTTTATAGTATTACTAAAGTTAAGAATAGGGTTGTTCGTGAAAACCGTCTCTGAAAAGCAGTTGTGTGGCCAAGGGGATACAAAGTGAGGTGACAATCACCATTGTTCGCCGTCCGACTGACTAAGCTGTTATAATAAATTTTTCATGGGTTGTGGTAAGCGCGCATGTGTATATTGAAAGTTTGAGGCAGTCACTTTTCTCTACAGTTCTACTTGGGATAATTATTGTATACCGTGAGCGTTTTCCGAGATATCTGACTACAAAGTTTGATTGCAGTTTGCATAATTAAGCGTTTAAGGCAATAGAGATTGGCGAAAAGTTACTCCCTGAAGTGAAAGCAGTCAATCGTCGATATCGTCGGCCGGTGCTCAAAGGGTAATCGTAATGATCTTTGCCTGTGCTAGTCGTCATTTTCTTGCGTGCGTAATTATGTGAACCGCAATTAAAGTTCGCAGCTGGATATCCCAGAGCATGGACATGCTAAAAGAGTCGTACGAAGTGGAACACAGGAGAAACACGACTGCGCCTAACTTCTGAAGTATGCATGCCCATACTTCTTTGTTTATTTCATTGACTGTGACAACAACAACAACAACAACAACAACAACAACAACAACAACAACAACACAACAACAACAACAACAACAACAACAACAACAACAACAACAACAACAACAACAACAACAACAACAACAACAACAACAACAACAACAACAACAACGTTAATAATAATAATAATAATAATATTAATAATAATAATAATAATAATAATAATAATAATAAATTTTCAGATTCCACGCCTTGCGAGAATCAGTTTCGTGAGAAGGAGTCTGCGAGCATTTGTGTATGCTGCATATTGTGGCTTTGAGCCAAGCGTCGTAAGGTGAATCGACAAGTTCTTGTAAGTATAGTAGAAGCATGTACACCGTGGGCTTTCCAATTACACTGAATACACTGGCGCTCAAAGGGGCCCTGCAAAACTTTTTGAGAATGGACAGAAAACACTACCAATCGGTATTCGAGGCTCCCGAGAACACGCGAATCAAATTTTTCAGCGCAGCACGCACCCTGGAATCCACAATAAAGTCTCTAAGTCAGCTAAAAATTGTTTTCTATTCTCTCGACAAATGCTAATAATACCCCTTATATTTCTTCAAATGAAGCAGTAAATATGGCTAAGCCTGTCAAAACCAATTAGAGGCTTGAGCAGTGGAGCCTGGCAGGCAAAGATAAAACCAAACGCGTTACATGATTGCAGTTAATCACACAATAAAAATATAAGACATAACGTGCTCATTAGATTAGAAGCGCAGAGCATATAAGCTGTAATCATTTCCGTTATACAGTGGTTACAAAAATTGAAAGCGAACAAAAATAAGAAAAACAGCGATGTTTCACAGACAAAGTGCCAACCTAAATAATTGCTCGGAAGTATGCTTGCAAATGAGTGCATATAAAAGAACACCAGATGCACAAGCCAAATGACGCACCAAGCTAAAAAAAAAATCACTCATCACAGCCATTGTATCAGCTATTGGCTGATTTGAGCATGGTGCGCTCAGTGGTTACTGGGGCTGCCATTGGGGACCGCAATATGTTCATGCGTGCGCGCGCAATTGCACGGAAAAGCCGCGTATTAGAAGAAAAAGAGAGTAAAAAAGCTCAGGGTGACGAGGCACATGTGCCATATTTTCTTTCCCCGAGCCTGTGTCTCAACCCGCATACCATGACCTGTGGTATACGGGCATGTGCCACAAGTGCCTTGTGGAAAGCGTCGGCGACGTACGCAACATGATTTTGTTAGTATTAATGTCATGTCATGACGCCAACCAATTTGGTGTACATGACATGTGTTAAGGATAACAAAAGCACCCAGACGTAGGCGGCTAGAGGGATAGATAGATAGATAGATAGATAGATAGATAGATAGATAGATAGATAGATAGATAGATAGATAGATAGATAAATAGATAGATGTGCTCCAAGTGCCTTCGGTTCACCAAGAAATGCTTCCCCTTAAATGGAAATATTTGCTTTTGTCAAACAGGCTCTTAAACAAGGTTCTATGTAACGGTACATTTAAACTCAACAAATCAAGTCAACTGAAATGCAGTGAGTCAATTTAAATGGAGAGCGAGAGAGGGACAAAGAGCGACCGAGCGTTTTTTTTTTCTAACATTGCCCATGCAGAAATTTAGACTTCCGGGGAATGTCAAACTACTTCTACAAATAAAAACGGTCAGCCCCGCTCGTGCGGTTGGACGTCACAGATGACGTCCAGGGAGTGATGCGTCTCAACATAGGACGCTGGCTGACCGCTGATCAAAATGGCTTACGATGTCGCAGGTTTGTGCTTAAAAGCAACCAACACCCACGTTCCAGTGGACACACTGAGAGGTGCCTTGTGTTTCCATATATTACGCCGTCCTGGTTGCCACCGGTGGAAGCCATGGTTTTTCTTTGATGGTGGGTCATCACAAAGGTCAATCCAATTGTTATTGGTTTATGTTGATATATCAGATTTCCACGGTGAGTGCTCTACAATTCTCGCTTGGTATATATGGTTTCATATCAAGGAAAATATATAGTAATAGTTATGCTGTTTTACGTGTCCTATTCACGACTTAAAAATTGTGACCAGCTGAGAATCTTTGACGACCTCTTGAAGCTATATAAATCTACGTGAGCAGTCATGCTCGCACTCCACCACGAAAATGAACTGGTACGTCTTTTCCAGCTAAACAGCGGGACATCTAACCTGCCAGGCTACCATGGCGGGTCGGGAAAAAAGTTACAGCAGAAACTTCCTAATGACGATTGCCGCAGTCCCTGTGTATAGTATTGTCGCTGACGACGTTCACAAGAGTAGTCACTTGCGCCATAAACATTTGATTGCACGTGGACTCGATGACAGTTCGCTAGCGTCGTGAAACAATTTTCTTTGATTCTTGTTTAAAAAAAAATTCTAGCCTTTATCACTTTGGCAATGCGTATAGAAAGTACACTTTGGTGATAGTTCGTTTTCAGCGAGAACTTGGAGGAGCATGACATGTACACCTACGGCGGCCATCATTTGCATAACACATTTTGTCGTCTGTAGCAGAGGAGACAAGAAAGACTCCGGCCTGTCTGTCACGATGCTTCCCCGAAGTATATCAGGCGCTTAGAAGCCATCTCTGATTATTCAAAGGCAAGAGATCGTTACCAGTCAAATAGGTGTGGTGAGATATGTAGGGTTCATTATGTTTTGAGAGAACTATATTATTTTTGACATGCAGGCAGACATCGAGGTTAGCGCGAAGTATTATGTTGACACCTACATTGCAGTGGTACATTCCACACAAAACAGGTGAAAGTTTTTTAAAGGACCAGTCAAAGCAAAGCCGATGAACTTCATTCGCAAGTAAATAGCTTGAGGTAAGCGATTTAAGAAATGAATTGACATAAATTTAATATATACGGTTCCTCAGTCGCCTGCTAATCCATCGGAAAATAACTGCCTATCGTGTGGCCATGATTCCACTTCATTGTGAAAAAAAGATTAACAAACTATCGTTTGTCCGCTGTTTAAGCATTGTCAGCGCACCCCACCTTGGCCAAGCATGCAACTTAATAAATCATCACAAACACTTGGCGCTCTTCTTCGGGAAATATTTCGTAGCCGGTGGTGTGGGCTCCACAGGAATTAGGTTATTACGACTGACACAAGGGTAGCTATAAGAGCATACCTTCCCCGCTGTAGCATAAGAATTTCTAAAAAACTGGCATCTGCTAGGCGAACAGCTCTATTATTTCCTTCGGGAATACCACGAAGTCGCGGTGGAGGCCATAATTCACTACACGCACAAACCGGTTAGTTTCAGTACAGCCTTCATTAGCAGCAATGCCTCGCGCTTCGGCATATTATTGGAAGGTTTGCGTAGGGTGTGTGTCGATCCTTCTCCCTAGCCAAGCGTAGATAAGTTGAACGATCATGGAAGTAGTATAGACACTCCACCATTACGAGCAGCCGGTAAGTGGTGCAGTGGAGCGTGGCGTTCTCAACGGTGTTTCGGGCGACGCTTGTGCGAATGCAGTGAAATGAAAAGGACATAGCTGCTGTTCTAGTTTTTCGCATTCTTGATATGCACATTTTATTATCCCTCGTAATGTAGACAGTAGTATTTCGATATTGCTGATTCGTGTCGTATTTGAAATAGCGCGAAATCTTTAAAAGTTCTGGCAGAGGTACTTCAGTAGATCATTTGGATTTACTCTGACGTTAACAAGTGTATTGCCAGACAGGGAAGTGAAAGAAGTTTGTAGTTATAACTCGAAAAAAAAAGCTTTTTTCATTGCTAAGGGCTCTTTGGCATAGACCTGTCACTTCCGCTAATAATATGTCCTTCATTACATTCGGCTCGAATCTGATTTTACGTGAAGTTTTAGAGTTTTACTGTGAAAACGCGAATGGTTTTATTTCTACAGGAGAAAATGTCGTGTCTTATACTTCAAGTCCCAAAATTTGACGTACAGTGTTATCGTGAATGGCGTGAGTGTTTGAGCGAACTGGAATTCCACGTACGAGGTCAACAGGGGCATTGCCTGTGAACTCTCTTTAAAATCCGCTAGCAATTTAACACCAGGGTGGCTAACAGAACGTTGGTCTGGTGTAATTTTTTGTCTTCTTCGAGCATGCTGACTGGTTATATCATGCGCATTGATTCAATTTACTGGCGAAGTCGTGGTACGCAAAAAAATCATAAATCAAATTGAGGTTAATTGCCTTAATGGTATTTGCGATTTTTCGCTCAGTGCGACTTCGGCTGTTTCGGTCTTGCTGTCCTCAATAATCCCCTGCGCTGAATTTCGTTTTCTTTATTTCGATGTGTTATTTCTAATGTATCTGTTTCTGGTGGCACATGCTTGCTACTCAATCCATTGAGAATGGTTGTTGCTTTTCGCGCTTCACGCAAATAAAAAGTACTAAATAAATAGATAAATAAGTAAACATAAACATAAACAATACAAAAAATTGTGGTAACTTTGCGCTAGTGTGGCCAAACCAAAAAGAGTGCAGAGACTTTTCTTTTTTTTCATTTTTCTATTTTTGCCTATATCTGTCTCTTCCTCGCTATTTCAATTTTTATTTGTATTTCTTAAATTTCTCTCTCTCTACTTTTTCTCTATCTTTCTCTGTTGGTCTTTATTTCTCTTCCTCTTTCATTCCGTCTTGCTGCCTGTTTCTTCTATATCTTTCTCTGGCCAGTTTCTTTCTCTCTCTCTCTCCCTTTATACGCCTGTTTCTCTTCCTTTTTGTATATTTTACATCTCTTTCTTTCTTTAGCTTTCTGTTTCATGCGTTTGTTTTCGTTGGGGCTTGCCGATATCTTATGACGCATACCCACTTGAGGACTTTGGCATAGCGGAGCACCATTTACCGATATAGCTTAAACAGCTTCGCTGTCAGAAGGATGAATATAGTCTGGTAGTGTTGATGATGACGGTATTTTTTTACGATAAAGCGCAAGTTACCGGCAGCCTAAGCACCTTTCGCTCTTAAATGTAAGCTGTGGTCACCGCAGACTGATAACAAGGGCATTATACTGATATTTATCTCTTCGCACAAATGTGTATTTGTTGTCCTGCAGTTTCAACACAAACTTCGTGTTTAAATCATTTATTGTACTTTGGGTAGCATTGGGGCGTTCCAAAGTAGAGCCAGCGGCATGCGGGGAACAGTTGAAAACTCCCAGCTTCTTCGCTTGTAAATTGCTTTGTTTTTCAAGAAAATAATTTAACCGTAGTATCCGTGTCCACCGTATCCATAGCCACCGTATCCATAGCCACCGTATCCGTAACCGCCGTAGCCATGACCACCGTATCCAAAACCGCCGTATCCGCCATATCCGCCATGTCCGTAGGCAGGGACACTTTTTCCGTGGGCAGTTATGTAGGGTGCTGCAGCGGGTAGGCTGGTCTTAGTTCCGGGCTCGTTGGTCTTGACAACAGCGCGGAAGCCGAGCTTGTCGGCCACGTAGTGCACCTGCCGGTGGCGGCCGTCAATGTCGCCCAGGTAGTAGGAACCATGCACGGGGCCGTACGCGTGTCCGGCTTCGTGGCGGCCGTTGACAGCCCCGTAGCCATTGACGATGTCGTAGCCAAATCGGTAGTGTCCGTAGTCCTGGTGGAAAAAAGATTTAAATACGTGCGTACAGCGAAATATGTAAAGACGGAAAGCTTCTTTGTGAACACGACCCTTAATGATGACACTCGTGTGAGACAAACATTAGGAACAGAGATGAAGCCTTAATCAATTGAGAGTTCATTCACGTGATTTTGAAGGTCAATAGGTCACAGTTCTACCCTGCCTCTCTCATTATGTAATACTCATTATTTGTCACAGTGTACATGAGTAACAAAAAAAAGGAAAAGTGGATGTTCGCTGCACGACTACTCACTACGGAGCTTGTCATCTACATCACTCAAACTGTCGAATACACAAGACCCTTGACGGCTTTTAGACAATCAGATAACCTACTAGAAGGTGTTCGAGCATCAATAAATATTGATACGTAAAAATAGCTAACTGCCATACCAGACGACGATGTCTGTGTTGTCGCTGGATCTGCTCCTGATCGAAGCGCAGTTTCGCCCAGCACCTCCACAACAAAGATGTTACGTAAACATGACACGAGCCATGTCTATTAAGGATCTATATTGACAATGATGCGTATAGCATTGACTAAGATTGAGGACAGCACGCATAACCAACAGACCACTTCCTCGTTGTCGTCTTCTGACCGCTGATATGTCAGCTACGTATCAAAATCATGTAAAATGGCATACCGTACAAATAAATAAAAGGCTAGATGAGCAATGATGAAGTGCTCACGCGAGTTGGCCACTAGACACGTGCACGCGGTAATGCGAAATGCTCTAGTTCCACTCACATCTTGCTTTCTGTATGTTCTGCTCGATCCACCATGGTGTCCTCCAGCATAACCGCCGAAAGCTACCGCTGCAACACCTAGGAAGACGATGACCTGTATGTCCCCCAGAAAAAAACATCAAGGCAAGAGTTTATCAGCAGACAAGCACAAGAATAATGTCCGCCCGATGCATGCACATAGACACGCGTGGAGGGTGCTAAGTATGCCCACCAAACGAGGAACGCCACATGTCCAGAGCACAGTATACCCATAATTATAAAGCGGAAGCTCCGGCTTCCCGCCAATGAAATCTTCCGCTTTCACTATTAAACGCGAATTCAGCGAAGCGTGAAATCGGATCACTCGCTGTAACTTGCAGAGCACGCATTTATATATATTCCCGTCTGTACAACGTTAAAAGCAAGTCTGACAAATCACTCGATGATGTCATCGCTGTTCATAACGAAGCCAAAAAACACCTGGCGAACCAGTATTACTCTAAAAAAGAAGACATACCTTCACTATGATATTTTAATTATCATTACTGTTAATTTTGTTTTAGCAGTAATCAATGAGTCATGATTGTCGAAGCTTTCAGGCTACAAAAACTTGCGCAGTATTTTCCTGTTGCATAACACCTACAGGTATTACACCTCACCACCCACACCTATCAAGCATTTTAAAATGTCCAGGGGGCTTCTATGATATGGCAACTCATCCCGCCTAGTTACTATTGAACCAAAGCATAACATGTGCACTTCCGCTAACGAGTACTCCGTGTCTTATTTACTAAATCTTTACCAATAAAAAATCTTTAACTACTACCTTATGAGAACAATCTACAAACGAATGGATGTTCTTGGCACGTAAATAAAAAAAAGTGAGATTAATAAATTATAGCATAGACATGGTGGTTTAGAATGAAAGAATGAACCACAACAATAATGACACGATAGAAAAACTAACGCGGAATTAGATTACTCGGCTCAGCCACCGGTTGAAGCACTCGTAATTATGGTATGTTTGCACCAGCAGATAATACAAAACAACCCACATGGACAAAACACGACGTTCTCTATATATTACACATTATGGCAGGATAGATGATGCATCTAAAGGAAGCACGTCTTTATCTAAAAAGCACTTCCCAGATTCTAGTACAATCACTGCTCAATCTGTTTCTTGGCCTTCTAGCAAAATATCGAGGATGTCTTGAGAGCCAGAAGGGACTGCTATAGTTTGCAAAATATTATAATGTTAGTAAGATTCTCTATGCATGCACGCTAGCATTATTATACATTAAAATTAGTTAAGCAAAAACTAAATGCCATGGTCACGACAGTTCGTGCAGTAATCCACATGTCCGGGGTAGTTGCACTGATGAGCTTCACAGGCATGGCTACCTGAGTGAGCATGTTTCCAACGTCCAGGAGCTCTTGCAACTGACTTCAAGTGACTACGGTCCGCGGGGTTTTATAAGTCTCGGTCAACCTCACCCACATGGGCAGTAGGACTCCCTCAACTGAGTCATGCCGCTATTTCCCCGGAATGCTGCATTTCGTGTCCTGTGGCTCTCACACACGTTACACGTCTGCATGATGTATACACGCCACCATTCAGTCATCCGCTGGTGGAAGCCGGTTTCACTCGGTTGCTGTTTCGGCGTTGTTGCTTCGATTGGGTACGGTTCTCGTGCATGACTTGCGCCGAATCCGTGAGAGAGCAGAAAGCAGGAAAGACCTCTTACTGGTGACCTTATGGGCAAGGTTGGAGGCAACTGTGCAGACTCCTTGAGATCAGTAGGTGTACGGTCCGAGATCAATACAAGCGGAATTTGAACTTTATCACTTATTGTTGGAATGCCAGCAGACCAGAAAGAAAAGAAACAGAAACCATATGAGTAAAAAGCCGACAAAGCGACAGGAAGCGTACCGGTCTAACAAGTGACTTGATTTTGTGAAAACGACGCCTCCAAAGACTCCAAATCGAAACTTGCTGTAACAGCTACGTTTTCTTGCTAAACATTTCCAATATTAATCAGCATGACTACCTTGCAGGGATGCTTTAACACATGCTTTGGTTTCTTTGCTAGATGAAAAAAAAAAACAGCGTAAAAAAGACGAAGACACACGAACACAGTACACATTCGATCGAGCGCTGATTTTACAACTGACAGCTCTATTGCACTGACCGCTCTTTTTACAGCGCGTCAACGCTGATATTCAACATCTCAATGGTTTCACTTAAATCATTTACTTGCCGTGTTTTCTTGTTAAGAGGTGGCTTTAGCATTTTCACAGGTGTTCTTTTTATTTGACAGTGAAAGAAATGTGCGCGCGCGGCGCAATTCATGTATACACGCGATAGCTTCCAGTGACCATGCAGTTTGCCTAGCTGATGCTTTTGCTTGGCGGGTTGATAGAAAAGGTGGGCGTGGTTTGGCGCGCTGTAAAAAGAGCGGTCAGTGCAATACAGCTGTCTGTTGTAAAATCAGCGCTCGATCGTATGTGTACTGTGTTTGTGTGTCTTCGTCTTCTTTGGGTTGTTTTTTTTTTCAGCTGAAATGTAGCAAATCGCCCAAATCAAAGTCCTGTTGCGTTTATTTCTCTTGTTTTTTTTCTTTTACTGCTTCCCTTGGCGTTCAACGGATTTCTGCACTTGGCAATCTAGCGACTCGCGCAATTAGCAGCAGCTTCGATAAATTCAATATAGTGAATCGCGTCGTGAATTTGAACCGACTTTGAATCGGCATTTTCTGGATGCCTTTAGGATGTGAATGTTTTTACCAATTTCATGCTGAACCCCGTTTGAAGGCTTGCTTTATTAGGTGTATCCAATATGGCTGGCCATGCTCGTAATGTTGCCCACCTAGCACCGATTCAAAGTTTGGTAAACCTCCTCGACATTTCCCTTCGTATCTCTTCTCTCTCTTGCGTCGCTAGAGAAAAGTCGTTTCCTCTCACACCCATTCAACCCATGTAGTAGAACTGGAAGCGGTGGTTTCACGTTATTACTTCTTAATCGTGTGAAAATAAGGTCGATAGAACACTTGACGAGTAGGATTACTTCAGTCTTCAAATTTATTACCGAAGCTGTTTTTGGAGGCCACCTTCCACACTTGCTCCATTGCCTTTTTCTCTCGAACAAACAGCAAAGCTCCTCGTTGAAGTTGCTGCAGAGGATAAACAGCAACATCGTGCTCGCTACAGGTAAGAGATCTACTGCACCTTAGTTGCACAATAAATTACAATGCAATGGCAATTGTGCTTGTCGGACTTTTCAGTTATTTGCTTTATATAGAATCTCAGAAATTCAGAATACTGAAATTAAGATGGCTTCTTTGAATTTGGATGTCACCCCAGGCCAATGGTCACTGCCAGGGGCTTCTGGCTCTTCCAAGAAGCTTCGTCAGACACATCTATAAGCTCAGTCGGCTATTGCGACTCACCAGGTGCAGTTGATAATGTACTCGCAAAATGACAGCCGTTATTTATTGAATGCATGTGACCTGGGACTGAATCCGCAGCATTATCTATAATATGTTCGCAACACTAATACTGCCTGTCACCCTCATCATCCTGTTTCATGTCCTCTGCTGGACGAAGGTGTCCTTCAGTGATCTCCAACACATCTTGTCTAGCGTGAGCTGATTCCTTTTTTTAAGTGCTCAAATTTCTTCATTTTCTTGCTCCACCTTACCCTTTGAAGTACGCAGTCTAGCTTACGATCTCTTGGTATCGCTTGGTATATTCTCGGCACGAAGAAACGGTAATTTTTTTATAGGGCATATTAGTGTAAATTATGTTACACATTGTAATTTTCCATTACGAGTAATACAAGAATAACATTTTTTATGTTATTTATAAGCCATGAAGCTCGTCAGGTGCTCATTTCATGTTCGCTATAGCTTCGTACAAAGTGTGTGTTATGAGTTTTTCGATACCTTCTGTGACCTTTAGCTCGAAATCAAAAGCACTAGTTAGCGCATGATATACGACATATTTTTGCGGTTAGTGTAACGCGTTGTAAATGACATATCGTTACCGCTCACATACCATGATGCTATAGGTGTTGTGGGTAGAGCGAGAGAGAAAAAAAGGGTGACAGAAGACAAGAGAAATGCAGGGAGATGGCTACAAGTGTTGAAAATTGAGCCTCTTCCTCATAGTAGCGTGCGAAACGTGACCGCCCAGGCACCCATTACTAATTCGTCACTTTGGTGGATAATAAATAACTTGTTTTTGCATCCCTAACACCTTAACCTGCACCAAAGATTGGAAGAGAGGGACTTGCAGGATCGCCTATATTTCTCGAGCTGGATCTTTACGAAATGCGACGAATCTCGGAACATTCATAGTAAAGTAATCTGGAGAGACGAAGCGAGTTTTTGCAGAAACGCCCAAGTAAGTCTACATAATGCCCACTACTAGAGTGACCACAATCCACAATGGGTTATGCGCACTCGGCATCAATACGAGTTGTCTTTCAATGCTTGGTGCGGAATTTACGCCGGAGATATAATCGGCCCCATCTTCTTCGATGAGACGCTGACTGGACAGTGTTATGTGGATGAAATTCTGAAGCGAACGGTGGATAGATGTTGCAGCGAAGTTTCTCTGTCACGTCTTCCACTTTTGTCGTACCAGCAAGATGGGGCGCCAGCACATAGAGGCAGCCGCGCACAAAACTGGTTGGATGCGACTTTTCGTTCACAGTGGATTGCAAGGCACGGACCTGTCCACTGGCCGGCTAGGTCACCTGATCTCACTCCACTGGATTTCTTTCTGTTGGAATAAGTGAAAGATCGTGTGTACATGACCGAGACGAAAACGCCAGATCACATCAAGCCCAGAATAGCGGGTGTATGCAGCAGAATTCCTCCCTGGGTCATCAAAAAAGCATCTGGGAATGTAGTAAAGAGGGCTCAGTACTGTGTAGCCGCAGCACGAGACCTATTGTAACCCGTTCTGTAAGCGGTATTGAGTGCTCAATGGTGCTGACAAATGCATCAGTAATAAAGCAACAATCAAATCTTACTTTCTTCTTTCTTTTGCGCGCCGCGCTCGCCAAACCGGCACAATTGGCAGTGGCACACTCAGCTCCTTCAACGCATCGGTTTTGCTTTTTTTTTTCTACACATCGGTAGAAACGCTTGTTTCCGCTTTATTCATTTTTGCGAAATGCGTGTTTTGTTGTGTGGCACGTAATAACGAAAAATCAAGCCACTACCTCGATTTGGCTTTTCTCCAAAGTGAGTTTCTGACGAAAGATATAGCTGCACGTGCACTCTTTCATTGCGGTAGGAGTAGAAATTAGTTTTTTTTTTTTTGAAATTTTCTATGTCTGCTTCGTTGCCTTTCGGGTTTCGTACGTGGTACAAGCATAGAGCAACACAAAAACTACAAGAGTGGTCACTCGGGTGAAAAGTGGCGGAGCTACGCAGCTTCATGCCCCGCCACGGTGGTCTAGTGGCTAAGGTACTCGGCTGCTGACCCGCAGGTCGCGGGATCGAATCCCGGCTGTGGCGGCTGCATTTCCGATGGAGGCGGAAATGCTGTAGGCCCGTGTACTCAGATTTGGGTGCACGTTAAAGAACCCCAAATGGTCAAAATTTCCGGAGCTCTCCACTACGGCGTCTCTCATAATCAAATAGTGGTTTTGGGACGTTAAACCCCACAAATCATCATCACGCAGCTTCATGCCAGCCAAAAGATGGCAACTCTGCTCCAAGGAAACACGCGTACCTGTTATTTACTACGGTATCTTTTCTATATAGTGCCTTATACGTCTACGTGTCTTAGTGGCGGTATTATTACTGTATTAGCGGCGGCCTGAATACGTCTTTATCGGCTGCGATTGTACGGCACGATATCGTTGGGCTGTGATCAGGCATGAATCGGACGCGACAGAAGTGCACATGGCGTCGACGAGACGGCAACGTTGTCGCGCTCCGTGTTCATGGGCATTTACGGCAATGAAGAAGTAAGGGCAGCAGCAGGGAGACGCCATAAAAGACGTGCGATAACGTGCCCGGCATGCGTCGTGGTTTTAGCTTGTTTCGTCTGCCTCTCAGCTTGGCTGCTCCTAGGCACGAACGTCATCAATACTTTGTTGAATGCGTGTTGCATTTGTCATTGAAGCCTTAACCTAACAGTTATGGCAGTGTGCTGTTCGGCGCAGAGATCTTGTTTGTGCTTTTCACTTGGCGGAATGTTTTCATGGATGGCTTCACACGAAAGAAAACTGTTTTGAATGCTTTGCAGCACGTTTGCGAAAGAATCGTTTCTTGGCTGAAGAAATCGAGTCACCGCTCGCGTTGTTAGGTTTTCTTTGTGCCGTTACATGTATTAGAATTCGCTGCATGAGTGAGATTTTGTTAAACGGGCAGTTGTGATCGTATCGTTATTTGTGCCGTTCGCAAGTTAATTAAAGCTCG